TCCATGCAACTAATTGAATATATATTTAATAATTTAATAATAATATATAAATTATTTATTTTAATAAATAAATAAATGAATATGTATAAATAAATATAAATAATATAAATACAAATAAATATATATATAAATAAATAAATATAAATAAATGAATATATATATATATACATCTAAATATATATATATATATATATATATATATACATATATATAAGTGACATTAAGCTCTCTCCCAACATCATTAAATTGAACAAAAAAGAACTTGCTGCGCTAAGCAGGTAAAACCTTTTTTTTAGTCAGTAGAAGTTAAGCTTGCATCGTGCAAAGTACTAATAAAGTTTTTATATAAAAAATAAAAAAATCGTTTTTATTAAAAATTGTCACTGGCGCAGTCGGTAGGATCAGTGAAAATGATCCTTTAAGAACTTACAAACAATTAAATATAAAAAAAAATTCTTCTTGTAAAATAAGAAAAAACAAACAAACGAAATTTTGCAAATGTTCGTGATATTTTAAGTGCCGTAGACACAAAACAAAAACAAAAAAAATTAATTTAAAATTTTAATTAAAATTTAATTTAATTTAATAATTAAAATTTAAATATTGTAATTTGAATTATAATTGAATTCAATTCGATTCTCCAAACAAACAAAAACTGTAACTTATAAAAAAGTTTCTTTTTTTTTAAATAAAAAAAACAAACTGAAATTTTGCAAATGTTCGTGATATTTTAAGTGCTGTGGACACAAAACAAATACAAAAACAAAAACTATCAAAAAAAAAAAAAATATTTAATGCAACAGTTAAACCTTGAAACGAAGTAACAGGAATTTAACTTTAACTGTAGAAGCTGATCAAGAACCTAGTAAAGAGAAAAAATTATATTCAGAGAAGTAGAATATTAAACCTTTTTTTTTAAAAAAAAAAAATAATAACAATTTTTAAAAACGAACTTTGCGTTTCTAATTGTGAAGCTTTAAAGTTTTAAATTTAAACTTGAAATTTATTAAAATAAAACAAAACAGCAGTAAAGACTTAGAATAACAATTTTTAAAACGAACTTTGCATTTCTAATTGTGAAGCTTTAAAGTTTTAAATTTAAACTTAAAATTTATTAAAATAAAACAAACCAGCAGTAAAGACTTAGAATAACAATTTTTTTTCCTACATGTTTAAAAGTAATTAAGAAAAATTACACAAATCAAGAACAATTAATTAGTTATTATCTTTAATCAATTCTGTTTTTTAATATTAATAACTGTTTTAAAAAATATGGTTTATTATTATATAAATTGATGAATCCGACGAAAAGATTATAAAATAAAAAAAAAAAAATCAAATCAAAATTTTTTAATCTCAAAAATTAATCAAAGTTAGTCAACGTGTCGTATATCAGCAGCAACAGTAAAAGAATAAAAAATTATTCTTATAAATAAAAAAAGGATATACAAAAAAAAATAAGATAAATCAAAAGTACAAAATATTCCTAATTTTTGTGCAATTACGGCAGAGTTCGCTACCAAAATTTTCCACAAAACGTATACAACAATTTTTAGAGGATCTAACATTGTCACCATCTAAAATCAGTTGTCCAAAATGACCGAAGAAAAAACGAGTGTTAACACCATGATTGAAGGAAGAGAAAGAAGAGATAGAACGGTGGCAGGTGTAAAACTGATCGCTCCATTTGATGGCGACAATAAATACCTGGCACTGTATATCGATAGCATCAACGCAATCATACCAGAGTCTTCATCTCTTACGGGCGAAGAAAAACCATTTTACTTTCAGTGCGTAATTAGCACTCTTCGCGGAGAAGCCCTGAACTTAGTAAGAAGAGAGCAACCAACTTGTTGGGAGGAGTTGAAGGCACATTTGATTGATGAGTTTACGGATTCCAGTCCACTCACAACGCAACTACTATTAGTAAGTAATATCAAATTTAAAGGTAAAGTTAGAGAATTTTGCGAAGAAATTAATTCCGAAATATGTAAAGTTAGGGATAATATTAAATTAAAAGAAACCAACATAACAAATATTAACTTCTTGCTCAATGAACTAAAAATGTTAAGTGTAAAAACACTGAAAAAGGGACTACCCTACCACTTAACGGCTCTAATTAATGCGAACATGGCTGCAGACGTTAACTCTGCTATAAAAATTTTAAAAGAGAATGATGAATATAACAATATTGTAGTTGGGAAAAATATTCATTATAACCAACAATCAGGTTCTCAACTCAATAACGTTAGAAACTCGCATCAAAATGCATGCAGTATTGATCATTATGGTAATAGTTCCTATAATATACCATATAAGAACCCTAATAAATATCACGGTTCGCGAAACCAAAACTTTAATAGAGCTTCGGAGGTTGATAACGAAAATTTTCGGTTAGAAGCCCCGGACTCTTACCAAAAATAGAACTAAAATTACAAAATCAAACCTTTGAATTTCTTATTGATACAGGTTCATCAGTAAGCCTTGTTCAACCCAATATCTTAAAATCTCCAATATTAAAAGTGAAACCAATAACAGTAGCAACAATAACAGGGCAAATTACATTAACCAATATGCAAGAGGTTTATAATGATAAAGGAAAAAATTATTTGAAATTTTATGTGTGTGACCTCTCTAAAAATTATGATGGTCTTCTAGGTTTCGATGTACTTCAACAGCTTCAAGCGAAAATTGACGTTGTTCATAAAAATGTTATATTAAACAATATTACTTATAAATTTAAAAATAATTTCGATAATGAAATTAAAGAACTTCACTTCAATAGCAATGCTTATGAACCGAAATTTAGACTAAATCATTTAAATGATGAAGAATTAAGCGAAATAAATACGATATTAAATAAGTTTGAAAATTTATGGTATAAAGTAGGCGATAAATTAACATTTACTAATAAAATCAAACATCGAATCAACACAACTCATGATGATCCTATATATGTTAAGTCCTACAGATACCCTGAAGTCCACAAATCAGAAGTCGATACACAAATAAAAGAAATGTTAGATCAGGGGATTCAGATCAGATTTGTCACAGTAAATCGTCTTATTCTGCACCAATTTGGGTGGTGCCTAAGAAGTTAGATGCTTCAAAAATTCAGAAATGGCGAATCGTAATCGATTACCGTAAATTGAATGATATAACTATTAGTGATAAATATCCGATACCCCTAATAGATGAAATACTTGACAAACTTGGCAGGTGTTTATATTTTAGTACAATTGATCTTACAAAAGGATTCCATCAGATAGAAATGGATCCAAAGGATAGAATGAAAACAGCCTTTTCAACTAGAAATGGTCATTTTGAATTTTTGCGTATGCCATTTGGGCTAAAAAACGCTCCGTCCACGTTTCAAAGATTGATGAATACAATCTTGGATGGATTAATTGGGAAGGAATGTTTAGTATATTTAGATGACATAATTGTTTTCAGTACTTCACTCCAGGAGCACATTGAAGCTCTCGATAGAGTCTTTAGCAGATTAAGTGAAGCTAATTTAAAAATCCAATTGGATAAAAGCGAGTTTCTTAAGAAAGAAGCCGAATTCTTAGGGCATATTGTAACCCCAGAGGGAATCAGGCCAAATCCAAATAAAATCGAAGCTATTTTAAAATATCCACTACCGAAAAATGAAAAAGAAATTAAACAATTCTTGGGACTAGCTGGGTTCTATAGAAAATTTATAAAAGATTTTTCTAAGATAACAAAACCCCTAACTCATTGCTTAAAAAAAGGCAACAAAGTCAATATAACTGATAGGGAATATAACAAAGCGTTTGATACAATCAAAATCTTAATAACAAAAGACCCTGTTTTGGTCTACCCAGATTATAAAAAAGATTT